CACGTTGGCGCGACTGCGGCGGTCACTATTCTGCTGTTTGAACAGTAGAAAATTAATGTAATAATTCGTTGGCTCACAATTCGACTAATCAGAAAACGAGTTGAATAATTTTGGAACAAATGGGACCGATTTTTCATTTTGGTACAAATGACTGTTGGTACACATGGGACGTCACCTCTGCTACACAACAATCCCATTCAAAAACATAATTGATAACGATTCTACGAGTGGTACAACAACTAAGATAAGATCCAAACAGTTTTTTTCTTGATCAATTGAAGAGGGACCCAGGCCAAGTGACTCACGGAAAAGTACGTTGGAAAGAATTTAGCTTTATTTAAAAAGCGTGCAATTTGCTGATACATATTATTACACCGAAGACTTTAGTCAAGGTGTTATGGTATCGTGTAACGGGGTTTTTTTTTTTAATGTTGTCTGTTGTCAAGTGTCGACAAATAACGTCCACAGTTATCAATTATCATATGGGCTGGACTATATCGCGCTATGTCACGTGATTGCGTATGTTTGTTTCTTTATTTGTTCATCTTTATTTATTTAATTATCTGTTCTTCTATTTATTTAATTATGTTTAGTTTGCTTATATTTATTTATAATTTATGTATGTACATATTTATTTTTGTTTATTTTTATCACGTGTTTTGTTTATTTATTTGATTATTCTTTCTTTCATTTAGTTTTGCTTTTATTATTTCTGCGTGTGTATTTATTTAATTTTTAGTTCTCGAACTGTTATTTTATGATCTATGTCAATATATCAAAATTTTAGTGTATACATGTGTTATTACGATTTTTAGTTCTCGAACTGTTATTTCATGATCTTTGTCAATATATCAAAATTTTATTGTATACATGTGTTAGTACCATTTTTAGTTCTCGAACTGTTATTCCATGATCTTTGTCAATATAGCAAAATTTTGGTGTATACATGTGTTAGTACGATTTTTAGCTCTAGAACTGTTATTCCATGATCTTTGTCAATATAGCAAAAATTTGACGTATACATGTGTTAGTACGATTTTTAGCTCTCGAACTGTTATTTCATGATCTTTGCCAATATAGCAAAATTTTGGTGTATACATGTGTTCGTACGATTTTTAGCTCACGAACTGTTATTTCAGGCCCTTTGTCAATATAGTAAAATTTTGGTGTATACATGTGTTAGTACGATTTTTAGTTCTAGAAGTGTTATTTTATGATCTTCGTTGATATATCAAAAATTTAACCTATACATGTGTTAGTACGATTTTTAGTTCTAGAACTGTTATTTCAGGCTCTTTCTCGATATAGCAAAATTTTGGTGTATACATGTATTAGTACGATTTTTTGTTCTAGAACTGTTATTCTTCAATTATTAGTTGTTCAAGTTGTTTGGTTTTTGCTTCAGTTTCTATGCCTTCGGTGTATTGCGCGTAGCGCCTATGTTAAATTACAATAAAATTGTACACTGCCTGTTTTTGTCATTTGTATGATTGTAACACAACGGAAATTCAGTGTTTTTTTTAAACTTATTTGTTTGTAATTCCAGACGATTGTATATGCACGAGCGAGATGACTTACGGCCCTATCTCGCTCGTGCATTGTCCTTAATTACATGGGAGGATTTTTCATAAATTTTATTACTTGCCTTTTAATAATCATGTTTAAAGTTTCAGTGACATGAGTGTTGTTGAAGAAGCCAACCGTGGCGTTAATGACAACGTGACAGCCTTGCAACCAAAAACAGAACCAGAGGTAACTGAAACTTCTTCTTTTATACCTTCAAGCAGTAGCCCCACTGAGGATGATGACGATATAATTATTGTTTGGGATAGACCGGTTCCAGCGGCAGCGATCAAACGTCAGTGTAAATCCGATTCGTTTCAAAATGATCCCACAAACAGTTTTCAGGCTCTTCGCGCAAAAGAAATCGAAGATCTAAATAAAGCCATTACTGAAAAGGAAACTAAATTTGAAACAGAACGAAGAGTTGTCGGAGACTGCAAGTTGCACCGAAGCCAATATTCAGAGCACAAGTCATGAATCGGCTGAGTCGTTGTCAACTGCGTCCTCGTCAAAATCGCGTAAAAGATATCACGAAGAAGATTACCCTCAGAACAGCATTGGTTATTATGCTAAAAGATTGCAAGAGTTTGATTTGAGGGGTGTATCCGATATGTATGCAGCTAGTTTGCAAAAAGTTGTTGTCTGCTTGGAGGTTTTGGACCAGACCAAAGCAGCTCTCACTGAGCTGTCCGAAGAAATGACTTCACAGAAAGAGCTTGTTGACAAAGCAGCAGTTTGTACCAGTTTCAAAGAGATAGTTTCGGTAATAGACAGAAATGATGACTTCGACATAGAAAGCATGTTTGGCGAAAATTCTGTTGGAGATTTCCGAAAAACATGGGACATGTTTGCGCATTTGAGATCTCTCTTGCAAGGAGTCTCTGAGCAATCCTTTAACCGTGCAGCTCAGGAATTGACCGAAGGAAAGTTAAGTCCTCGTAACCCTTCTAAGCAGTGCAAGGTTTATTTCTATCCAACAAAAATAAATCGCACAATCCCTAATGGCAATTGGAAATCAGATGACTACACCATGGGTAATTTTATATTCAACGCTGGAATGTATTTCAAAACCAGAGTTGCCATGATCGTGATTGACATCAAGCCAAACCCCGAGGAGAGGCCTCCCAATAAGTGGAAACTAAAGTGTAAATTGACTCTTCTTATAAGAAACAAGATTGAGTCTGAAAATGGACAATATTATTACACGGAAAAAAGTATCAAACGGAAGTATGTGGCTAACTTCTGTAACGCTTATAAATCGTTAAGCTCGAAGAGCAAAAAGGCATATACCAACAAATTTTACACGTACAACACAGGGTTGACCTTGGACGAAATTGTAAAATTGGAGAACGGTTGGATTGATCTTCATACCAAGACAATGGATATCGAGGTTGATATAAAAGCTATCGATTTTCAGGAAATTCGGCATCCAACCATGCGAAAGGGTTGATAATTTATAATAGCGAGGCAAGTGATTTCCTATGGCAAAAAATGCTTGGAATGCTTGTCAGTTGCTTCCCGTGATATGTCTGTGATACATCGTCCTTTGATTTTATCGGAACTGAAATACGGGGTAGTTTTAGAGAAGTGTCTTATTTTTTGCATTTGTTTCAAATTAAGGTCAGCTCAGTCTAGTTTTGTAATTTTCTCTGTCGTCAATTTTTTTTCCCTCAACACTACTTGCTCAACTCTAGAAAAAGTAGATCAAATTTTATCCATAACCTGTATACAAGTGCGTTCAGAAGAAACTTGGAAAATGTAAATTTTTGATCTGTGCGTGGGCATTGAAAATTTAATTTCATCAATTGCATTTGTCATTATCTAGATCCACATTTTGGTTTTGAGGGAAAACAAAAAAGACGCTTTTATTCATTTTACCAAATCATTCCTTAAAATTAGAATTATGGTGCAAGAAGGTTTCTGCGTCTTTTATAAAGTAATTTGTGTCAACATAACTAAATTAAATTCTTCAAAATTTCCACCACCATCTTCTTAAAGAAGGTATTTCGACCGGAAAATAGGTGAGAAGATAACAACACAAGCACGGTAGGTATGCGTTGACACGTCTAGTCTTTCCAAAGTGCGTTCCCATTGCTAATTGCTAAACGACTACGAAAAAGATTTCTATTCGATGACATGAATTTCATCCTCAGAAGAATTTTTTTAACATGCAGAATAAGTTGTATATGCAAGCAGACACATTAGAACTCTCAAAGCCTAGAAAGCTCCAAATTGCAACAGCTGTTATGACAAGTAAAGTGAACCTTAGCTAAGATATATTGCCTTGTGTTGACCAATTTTGTGGAAGCTTATGGAGGATTATGCTTGAAAACACTCAATGTTTTCGAAATCATCCAAAAATTTCGCGGTTTTTCTTTTTAAGTTCAATTCGTTTTTTTTGGTTAAAAAGAAGGCAAACTCCACTGTCGAACAGCAAAAATGTAAAGCAAAAATGTAAATGTAAAAATATAAGCTTTAATTTCGAATGCGGATCTAAATTTACAGAATTTCCGGCGGAATAAAAACTACCTTTTGATCCAGTTTTTATAAGTTGTGTTATTTTTTTACGCTCGCGTCAAGCAAGTGTTATCAAACTGGAATATATATTTTTTTGTAGTTAACTAGTTTAACAAAATCAGCTGAATCTTTTGCTGACTGTGCAGCTAACTTTTTTTCACTTCTCTTCTTTTCTTCTCTTAAAATTATCAAGTTTGCTTCCCCCTTGGCCTAGAGGTAAAACAGTTGCCTTTGTAATCTAAGGTCGGGTTTCGAATCGTGGTCGGACCATGTTTCTTTCAGTATCAAGGAAACTGAAAAAAAATCCAAGAAAAATGAATTGTTGATTTTTCGTTTGTTCGCTCAAGTTTTGTCGGTCAAATTGCCACAAAGTTGGGACTTGAAAGATTTTTAAAATTTTTTTCACTAAATCTAATTTTTCGGTTCAGTTAGCGTGTGCTCGATGATTGTCGGCTTAGTTGCCACTTCACTGATTTTTTTTTTGCTGTAAGCAACTTTTATTGTAGTTGCAAGTGCTGTTCATTCTAGTTTCGGGAAAGTCGAGTAGACGAGGATTCAACTGCCCAAAAAATTACATCCATTTGATCACCTTAACTCTATGAACCTCATACTGCAATATTATGTAGTATATGGGAACGATCTGTGTTTGTGGAAGCAGCTTTGTTGCGTTGAATACGCTAGTTATAATGAAAAATGAGGTTAGGTTTGTTAAGTAGATCTGATAGTAAATCGTGAAATTATATTAATCTCGGAAAAAAACTAATCATTTCTGAAAAATTTATGCCAGAATTGGCCAAATCAAGGTAAAATTATATAATGCTCATATCGCTCGAATCATTTGAAATAGCACTTTAAATGTTTTTTTTGCACAATTTAGACCATGTCTATTTTTTATCGACTCGATATTTGTTTTCAGAATGTGAAATGTCAGCTGCATTTTCGAGTGTGTGGCAATTGCCATATGTTAATGTGTTCAAACACCTCAAGCTCGACCACCAAGACTGGACGAAAGCCAGTAAAGAAGGTGACGTCACACATCGAATGGACAAGGTCATCAAATGTAGTGTGTTTAAAATCAGCGGATCAGTTCCAGCTAGCAACTTCATTCTCATACCCAAGAAAAACACTCCAAGTATATCTCTGACTGGAACTTACTTTTACCTGCAGTTCAAACCGCTTCCGACAAAATATTTTGTGTTCCATATTGAAGTTGTGACCCGAGATGACCTTGTGATCAGGATATCTGTTTCAAACCTGTTCAAAGAGTTCAAATGTACGAGTACCTGGATTCAGTTTCCATACGCTTACCCGGCTCCAGCCAACTCAGTGGAAGCTGTAACTGCTCCAGGAAACCAATCAGGTAATCATCATCAACATCATCCTGCACCTCCGAACTCTAGATGGACCTTGCTCTGTCTGAACTTAAAAGATATGCTGTCCAAGTATGTACAGAGACAGTACTCGCATGTAAAGACAATTCAGCTGTGCTCGAGCATGCTTGTGCGAAATGTGTTCACGTCAGATACTGACTATGATCCGGAAATATCTTTCAGAGAAGCGCAGAAACTTGCAGGTCTTCATAAGGTTTCACCCATTCCTCGTGAAATGGCATTTCCGGTTACTAAAAATGAAACCTGGAATGAACTTTACTGTCACGTACGGCTTCCGTCGCTGGCATCTACACCATTTGAAACGCGCCATCACGAGGAGATTATGAAAAATTCTTCAATTAATAAACGCGTAGGTGAATTGAGCTCAGGTGCATGTAGGCGAAAAAACATGCTTGACTCAATACCCTTGAAGCTGAACCAGGAAGCAAATAAAGCTCGCAACATTCCACCGAATATGATGGGAGGAGGCGATGCCGTAGAACTGGTTGCCAAGAAACCAGTAGTGGCAAAAGAATGTGTTCATATTTACCCAAACCTAGAGAGCCCACGAAGCAAAGAAAGAAGTCACGTGGGCGCTGATATAGCTACAGAGGCATCTTTGGTATCTGATTATAGGTCATCTAATTCAATGGGCAGCAGACAACAAAGTCGTTCGGAGTTCAAAACGTCACTCAAACCGGACCCGATAGCACAACTAAGTCGGGTGATTGGCGCCAACTCGCACGAGTACCCCAACTCAGTTTGCTGGGCTGCAAATGACTCAAACTTAGTTTACTCGTCTAGTGCAGTTGTAGTTTGTGTCGACGTTTCTACCGATCTTCAGCGATTTTTCGTTGGTCACACAGAAAGCGTGACTTGCTTAGATGTCAATAGTAACTCGACGGTGCTGGCTTCAGCCCAAAGTGGTATGCACTCGATGGTTCGATTATGGAAGTTCAACAACGCACAGCTCATTACTGTGTTTAGAGCACCCGAAGCCGAACTTGGATCTCTTGAATTTAGTTCGGACAGTTCTTTGCTATGCGGCACTGGAAACGACTCACACGGCAAATCGGTCATATGTTTATGGGATGTATCTTCAGTGACAAAAAACTACGACGCACCTCTTATTGCCAAAGCGCATGCTGATGTCGATATTGTGGCACTCAAATTGAACTATTTCACATCGACTAAAATGGTATCTTGTGGACGTGAAAACATTCGTTTCTGGCGCTTGAAACAAAGATCATTGCGATCTTGTCCTGTTGTATTGGGAGATTACACTTCCCAAAACTTCACTGACATTGCTTACATGTACAGTTTCTCGAAAACCAATGAAAATGAAGAACCTAAATCGGTTCTCTGCTGTACCAGTTCAGGTTATGTTTTCGAAATTGACGTTGAAGGTGTCGCAGTTCGTGCAATCAGAAGACTAGTTGATTCGAGTATTCAAGAGAAAGCTGTCAACTTGAACAGTCTTTATGTGACGTCACAGTATTGTGTCATTGGATCGCGTGACGGTTTCTTACGAGTTTGGAGTCTAGACTTTGCGTCAGTTCTGTTAGAATACGAGCACAGTTCGGAAGTTATCCTTGCAAAGCCGAACCGAAAAGGCGACAAAGTTTGCTCGGTTACAGTTTCAAATCAAATCGGAGTTTTGAATATAGTAACAAGAGAGTTCATCGCGTTTCAGAGCTATCCTAAAAAGTATATTACAAGTTGCGATGTTTCGAATGAGAAACTAATTGCAGTAACGGCTGCGCTTGACCAGCAAATAAATGTGTGGGATTTACACACGGGAAATTTGACGCACAATTTTCACTCGACTTCAGACGCGCCTCTGATTGTGGCGTTCCATCCTAGTTACGATTGGATAATTTGTGGGTTTGAATCAGGCGCCTTGAGAGTTCTTGACATGCAAACTGCTCATTTTATTCACGAGTTCCCCGATGCTCTGAAAGGGCAAGTCACTGGACTTGTTGTTCGTCACTGTGGTCGCCAATTCCTAGCCTCGTGTAGTTTGGGTATTTTGGGTTCGTTCGCCATTGACCCCAAATTTGCTATTCAGCGATTACTTCCTTCAAGTTTGCCCAAAGGAAAAATTAAAAAGCAAACTTTGAGTCTAAGCAAAGACGGGCTTCGTTGTGTTTACATTGGACCCTCTGAGTATATAGTTAGTGTGATTGATAGCAAAACTTTGGACGATTTGATGAGAATAGACATTACACAGTTAAGTTTAGAGTACCTGAACAGAGGAGTGATAGAAAAAGGAGTGACTGTCAAATTCTCGGAGACTCATATCTTACTCGTAACAACATCTGGAAACTTGTATTTTCTGGACTTAGCATCTGGGAAACGTCTGAATATGATCAATGTTCATAAAGAATCTTGTAATGCGTTAGCAGTTGGCGGCAATGATGAATACTTTTTCACGTCCGGTGAAAAAGTGCTAAAAGTCTGGGATTACAAGCTCCGTTTTGATGTCAATTTCCAGATGTTGATGGGTCATATTGATGAAGTGAACAGCATTCATTTTGTTAGGAAGTTGAATACAATTATATCCGTCGGAGACCACTTGTGCATGTGGCGACTTAGAGATAGTTCACCTTTGATGTCAGAATCTGAGAATAAAATCTCGCATAGAGTTGAGAAATTACCATCAAAAGTAGCTAATATTAATGATGAATTCAAGGTACAAAGTAAAGACATGATGCGTCTTGACGCTGATCATACATCAGAAACGGTGTCGAATCTTCTAACGAAATCATCGGAAAATAAGCCCAGAAAGTTTGCCCCAGAGCCGGTGCCTGCGCCTCCTGATTTGAGTTCCATTGCTGGCCACAATGATTCAATTGTTAGTGAACTGGAAATTCTAAACATTTCGGACAATGAGTTAAATACAAATGACAAAACACCTCCGAAACGAAAAGTTGCAGAACGGGAAAATTCAATCAGAAATGGAGAAGTCTTAGTGGTTTCTGAGATAGCAAAAAGGTCCAATGAAACACAGAAATCAAAAGCACCGACTTGTTTTAATCACTTTCGAAGGAAAGAAAAGGTTTCAAAAGTTGCCGCAGTTCATTACTCGGCGCCCGAAAATCAAGCGGGCTTGAAATTGAAGTCGCTAATAGCATTTAACGGAAACGCAAGAGATAACATCCTGTGGCGGACGGAACCAGGTTTGGTCTACTATACATCGGGGATTTCAATTGTGATTGAAGACCTGGCCTCAAATGAGCAGAGAATTCTGAAAGGTCACGTGAGTGAAATATCGACTCTGGCAATTCAACCTTCAGGCCAATTGCTAGCTAGTGCAGCGGGTGAAAGCGAAGAGATACCATGTCAAATTATAGTTTGGGATCTGACAACTTCGACATGCCACAAAGTGATACCATGTGCAAATAGAGAGATTATTGCAATGAAATATTCAAACGATGGCCGATTTCTGGTGTCTCTCAGTGATTTTACTGACAAGTGTGTTTATGTTTGGAATTCGCTCTCAATGAATCTTTTACTTTCTTCTAAATTAGACTTCGTCGCTAATTCGGTTGCGTGGGACTGTGACTCACCTTTGGAGTTCTGCATCGTCGGCAGTGACTGCTCGGTTTCGTTCTGGATCTTGGAGGAATCGGCAGACACAGATGGGGATTGTGAAGCCGAATACTCTCTATCCTATCATCACTCGGAAGTTCCGACTGAAGTAGCTAAACATCGACGCGATAGTAGAAGCGTGAAGGATGGTCACGCCTTTGTGTCTCTATGCTACGCTGGGTTGAGTATTCTCTACATTGGTTCGGATCAAGGGGTTGTTGCAGCATGGGATACTAGGAGCAACAAGTGTTACATGCACTGGATAGCGGGTCAAGCTGAGATAACCCATATCTCTGCACTCGGATCCAGACTTATTACTGGATCTGTGGACCACAAACTGAAACTATGGACTGTTATGACCTCCAACTCGAATCAGCCGACCAGAATTTCTTCTGAGTCATCGCGAGTTCCAGGAAATGGACTGATTATGGAGGACGAGTACACTTTATCAGGTGAAATCACAGGCGCATCATTCGACGACAATTTAGAGCTGGGACTTGTAGGAACTTCTGATTGTCTGATTTGGTACATCAATTGGCTAGAGCGAAACACAGTTCGCCTGGTCAGTGCAAACAACTCTGATATAACGTGCACCAAGTTTTGCGGTCATGAGTCAATAGCAGTCGGTTGCTCAGATGGTGGTGTGAAATTGTTTTCTACCACAGATAACGAGTTGCTGGTACATTTCAAAACGAGAAAACCAGTTTCTTGTTTAGAGTATTTTGAATTGTCTTCAAAGCGCGAAGTGAACAAACTAATTGTAGCTGGGTTTTCAGACGGAAGTGTCACAGTCTTTGATGTGAACAAATCAGAAGTTTTGAAAACGATAACAGTTCACACAGAAACTGTGAATAGAATCTCGATCTCAGCTGGTAAAAATTTCATTTTGTCAGCTTCCGAATCAGGTGCAGCGGCTTTAATTGACTCGTCATCATTTGTCATCTCTAGAATGTTGTCGGACCATAAGGGTTCACCAATTTCAGACATAAGTTTTTCTCCTTTTATAACTGGCGATAAAGAGTATTTTGCAATTGCGAGTTTCGACCGACGAATCTCAATTTGGCAAAGTAGTTGGAATAAAGAGCGATGTGTGTTATGCGATTGGGTTACATTTTCAGGGCCATCTTTCGAAGGTCAAAATATGAAAAAGTTACCTACTGTTGTTGAGTTTAGTCGATCAGAGAAGGATATTGTTCTATATTCGGGATATTTGAGCTGTAAAGCCATCCGGTTTTACAGCATGCGAGAGCGCAGAGTCCTTCGAGAGATTGAGATAGATTCCCACCCAACTTTCATTACTCTCTCGCCGAAGGGAAATCTGATTTGCATGGGTACTGATTCCTGGTTGTTGAAGCTTGTCGATTACTTAGAAGGAAGTTTTCAAGATTTCCTAATCCACTCACAGCGTGTCAGCGCTGCTAATTTTGGGGAAGACAATTCAATGCTAGTGTCTTGCGCTGGAAATGAAATAGTCATATGGAAAGTTTCACTGTAAAAAGAATACTTACAAAGTTCAGAATCACAGAAGTGCCTTAATAGACTCATGGATTACTTGAAGAACTTGCCTTGTAGATTGTATTGTGTAAATATTTTGTAGTGTAAATAGTGTTTCTTGTCATCAGTTTTACCTAGTTGCCAATTTCAAAATTCAATGTGAATGATTTTTGTTGCAACAGAGGACTGGGAGCTGAGGGTTGACACATGTGAAGACAGTTCACGTAATATTTATAACAAGAATAGATGGTTGTTATGCAAGTTTCACAGAATGTTCCACCACGAGAGTTTTTGTGTTGTTTGTTTGTAGTAAGGGGGACTGAGTTGTTAAGTTAGCCATCAGAATTAGTTAATACAAGAAAAAATATTGAAAAAGTTGTAGAGTTAGGCTGGAAATTCAATCTGACATTTCCAGTCTGAAAACCAAAACAAAAAAAACATTTTTTCCACACAAAGTTTATCTTTTGTTTTCACACTAGCCAGCTTGCGAGCGTAAGTGTATTAGTACGAACCTTCTTTTCTTTCTAACCTAACTCGCAAAAAAAATGTGTTCATACATATGGAAGTTTCACTGTTTGGCTGATTGGTTATTGCGTGAGACTCATAATCTCTAGGTCATAGGTTCGAATCCGAGAAATTGCCAAATTATTACGAATTCGGGGCTAATTTCTACTTTATTTTGCACTTTATAGAGCTGCTTTTTTGTCGTGTTCTCGCTACTGTTTGCGAAGCGTAGCTTTGCCTTCGTGTAAAAAATCCGAATTATAACTGAAAAGGTTTCAATACGATACAAGACAACAACTGGAGGCCTTTTATGCTGTAGCTGATATCAGGCGAAAGAACACCCTGCACTATATTTCCTTCCACCTCTAAGGAGTGTCAGAACAACAAGACAGCTCGTGTCAGGGCAAAGCTCTGAATGTTCTGAACGCTTTATTTGGTCCTAAATGTATTTTGTAGACAAAATTTTGATAAACTAAAAATATTTCAAACTTTGTTAATTTTCTTCACTCAACAGGCAATATCAAATAGGTCTTGCTAAAATATGAGTCGTATAGAGAAGAAGAATGAACAATCAGCGTGAAAATACTTGGTCTTGTTTTCGAATGCGAAATATTTTGCTACGGATATTTATTTGTGGCGTATGTTTTTAGCATCATAAATAATTTCAAAAAAGTGCACATAATTTTGTCTAAAATTATGGCCAAATTGTCAAACCCCCAGAACTTGAAGCCAAAATTGATCGCCGGTAAAATCTCTTATTTGTTAAACTGAGGGAGTGGATATTTTCATTGGCTTATTTACCCTTTTGTTGAAAACTTTTATTTCTTTGCCAACTTTGTTTTGACCTGAAGCATTGTCGGTCATGACCTGATCATGTTGGTGATAATAATTTTTGGAAACCGTTTTCAAGAGGCAAAATTGAACGATAAAAGTTAACAGGTTTAAAAGTATATTTAACTGGAGGTTTGAATAGCTGATCGGAGTCGAAGTTTTGAATTAAGTTTTTTGCTAGCTGAACTGCGTTTTCATTGATAGCTCAAGGTTTTGCTTCCAAACTTTCAATATCCTATTGTTTTTTTACTGTGAATGAGTTATGTGTGATTTTTAGACTTAGTCTTTAAAATTACACTTTCCAGCTCGCTTTTTCAAGTTTTTGATTTCAGATCTTACGCATTTTCCTCCCCTTCTTTATATGCGTTAGGTTGCATTCATTGCTAAACAATAGAAGACCCAAACTGGTTTAGTTGCCAAAAAATATACTTGATGTTTTTGTTCTGACATTGAAAATGAGGAAATTTGCATTCGATTATTTTAGTTTTTTTTTTCACGCAGAATCAGGTACCAAAAATGTTCATCGAAATGGGTCAAAAGATATACCAAGCTAAAGCCCTTTCAGTCGTGATTCGACTGAAATTTAAAATTTTCGAAAAGCTGTCCCAGCGTCGAGAAAAACAGGTCTATTTAAAAAAAATTTAGTTCAATTTCGACCGAGTAAAGCGATCGAGTAACGATCGTTATATTGTAAATTACTTTTATGTAGTTTTTCAAGCTACAAAGTTTAATATTATAAAAAAAAATAAGGATGTTTAATGTTGTGCCCTTGCAATGAAGGATTTCCAAAAAAACATCAAAAATTTTGCCAAAACAAAAAATATAAATTTTTTTCTTTTCGGTTTTTGCTTTTCATTCTTTTTGGTGAAGAGAAAGGTTGTCAATCATGTCTAATTCACTTCGTTTATACGCATTTGTGTAGCTCTCAAATCACACCACACTTTAAAAATGTCATTAACTTGAAGAGAAAGGAAATTTTTGTGTTGTTTTGTTTTGTGAGTGTCGTCGGAACATTCTGTGCTACTTGCAAAGCAACCGGCTATCCTTTTTCTTTTTTGAATTCTATTAAACTTGCTATATTACTGAAACTTGTCATTTTCCAGGCTACTTCTCACTTGTTGAACTTGGTACATCACTGAAACTTGATTTTTTTCCAGGCTACTTTTCACTTGTTCTAGAGGTAACGCGGTTGTGGTCTGGGGTTCGAGACCCGGTCGGACCTTGCTTTTTTCCAGTTTCTTTGAGTGAAAACTTATTTTCGGTATAAATTTAATTGTCGGACTTTCTTTTGTAGGATTTTTTTTGTGGCGTAGTCACCTTATTTTACAAAATAAGGGGCGAAATCAACTTACTTTGTGTCGCTTGAATGACAAAATTGATGAGGTTTTTAAAAAAAAATCAGGAAGGTTGTCAACTTTCAAAACCGCTTGTCAACGTTTTCAAGTTTTAAGGTTTAGTCTCTCAAATTCTTTTATCGATTATTTCTTATAGCCTTTTTTTTTACGGATCCATGGGCATCCACCCAAGCTCGGTTAGTTTAGTGGCTCGTTAAAGGATGATGGAAGCTGATTTACTGCGTGTGGGTGTGTTTCTCGACGGTTTTTCTAAAATTGAAACATTTCAACTATTTTTCTACCTTTTTTTCGCAGTCTATTTGCAATAAATGCAAGGGTTGAGTGCTGTAATAAAACTTCAATTTGATTATGCAATCAAATGACATCTGTTTTGTAAAGATTTTTATAGTTTACCTCAATGAAGTTAGCCTCAAAATACCTTGTTTTGTTTTTGTGGACAGATTTGATGCCTTGGGTTGAAAAAATGTTGAACTTTTTTTCCTGTTTTTTTCTCAGATTGGATTGGTCGGGTTAAAGCAGTTTTGAGCATTTTTTCTAACTTCTTTATAGTTTTTTTCCAATAAATAATAGAATCAAAATGCGTAAAATTTAAATATTGGTTCATTTGTTATTTCTCACATTTTCTTAATAAAAATCTAATATAATGTAAATTCAATTGTAAACGTCTAAATTATTCACTCAGTAAGATAGAGAACGGCAAGATGAGGGTTTCAGGATTATCAACTAAGTTGCGCCAAAAACTCTTGATTTAATTAACTATCCAAAAAAGATTAAATATTATTGTGATTTTTGATTTTTTGTTACTGACAATGATTTGAAAGAGTTTTGTACTGCAATAAGTTTTTATTTTGATCATTGAAAAATCATAATACCTGCGCAATAAAGTTTGTGTCTCACTAGAAAATTCGCGGCAAGAAATTTTGTGTTTTGTGTAAGAATTCTATTTCAAAATTGTTAATAAGTTTTTTGTTACGTTTTTTTTAATAATTTTTCAAATTATTGCGTGAGTTACTTTTTTTTTTAGTTTCTTCAATTTCATCTTTTTATTTTTATTGAAACATCAAACAAAATTGAGCATGACTTGATTAAGGTTGATTTGGGTTTTGATTCTGACAAAGTGATGCTTGATTTTTTAATAGGATAAAATACTGTTTTCCTGTAAACAACAGTAGGGCTGAAACTTTTTACAGCTATCGACTAGATCAGTTTTTTGATATAATGAGGCAATTGTGTTTTCATCAGATACTAATGTGTAAATAGCAGGAGGGGCTGAAACTCTAAAAAGGCATTGATATGCTCAAATTTCTGCATTTTTTTTCGTAAACTCAATGGAATGTCTTTTTCACAAGCGAACTTAATTGAGCTCTAGTGCTATAGTACGACTACTCTTTTTTTATCCAATATAAGTCACAAATATTGGTGCCACTTTTGTTGGCACCATTATGCCTTTTGATAGCATGTGCTTTGACATTTGAGCATGTGCTTTGACAATTAGCTTAACAAAATTGATGCTTTTCTCATTTCAAATGAACCGAAAAAAAAAACTATTTGCTTCAAATGTCAATACAAAAAAACTTGATTTCAGATATTTTCTAACTCAAAATATCTTGCAATTTTTTGAAAAAAAAAAACTTTTACATAATGTGGTTTTATGCTGTCCAATCAATTACATGCAAAGTTATTGTGGATGCCTTTACCTTGCTATATTCCAATTTATTACGTTCAAAATTGTGTCTAATTGAGTTTGGTGCCTTTTTTGCTGATTTGCATTGTGAATTTATTAGCATATGTAGATGCTTTATTTGTGACTAGTGTTTGCATACTGTTAGGCCTTCGTGACCGAGAGGGCAGGGCGTGAGACTCCAATTCTCAAGGTAGCAAGTTCGAAGCCAATACATAGCACAAAGTTTTACTAATTTTAAGGCTTATTCGTGTTTTCTCTTATTTCACTTCTTGAAGCCTCTTTTTTGTGTTCTCCCTGGTGTTTGCGAAGCGCAGTTCGCTTCTTTGTAAAAATTGGTACTCATTATTTCCTTGATGGGTTAATGATTGTTCCGACTAGTTGAAAAATGGGCAGGAACATTGTATTCGGGTCTCTGTTTGTGTTTTTTTTTTACTTTCGGCATTAAAAAATTGTTTTCCGACATGAAAAAAAATCAAAGACTCGATAAATCGAGAAAAACAGAATCGAGAAAAACTGGTTAAAAATTTTTAATTTTAAGTTTTGATTCGAGCGAATAATTGATCCAAATAATGATCCTTACAATAATTTATTTTAATATATTACAATAGCTTAACTTGAGCCGTAAAAGTTTTGATTTTATTAGTTTTTTGAGCTTTCAGCACCTTTTTGGAACCTGTTTTTGTTTTTATCATTTTTCTATAAAATTTTTTGTGATCAATTTTTTTATGTTGAAAATGCCTAAGCTCTAGTATTTCGTTCAGTTCTTTTTAACAGACC